GGACCATTGCCTTCGGGAGAAAACTTATTAGTAATCGTTGATTACTACAGTCGCTTCTTTGAAGTGGTTATTGTGAAGTCAACCACAACACAAAAAGTGATAGAAGTGTTAACACCGATTTTTGCGCGATACGGTTATCCATTTACTCTTAAGTCCGACAACGGAGCTCAATTCGTATCGGAGGAATTTGAGGATTTCCTAACTGAAAGTGGAACTCTCGCTTCGCCCCCCCCCAAAAAAAAATGAAGGTCTGGCTACGCCACTGTCAATAGGTATTGTTTTTGACGACAAGCTTCGTTGGTTTCTATTATGTTATTACATTGGGACGTATCTTTCGTATCTAATGAGTATTTTTGTTGTTTTAGTGAGTCCCTCTCACCCATAGTCTCATCAATAGGTATTGTTTTTGACGACAGGCTTCGTTGGTTTTCTATTGTGTCATTACATTGCGTATCTAATGAGTATTTTTGTTGTTTTAGCGAGTTTTTCTCACTTTCGGCCTCTAATAATTTAGTTCTAAATTCCCTAATAGTATTATCACGATCCATAATTACTTTATTCTTCTCATCAATGATTTTAAACAGCTCATATACCGTAGCCTCAGTTCTACGATCATGAGTAAGACCACCGTCATCACCGGGAAGCAAAATTTCACTGATTGACTCTATAATGCCATTTGTAGAATCAATAACATTGTTAATAGAACTAATTTGCTTCTGCAAATCTTCAATGTCTAGCGTGACGTTTTTAATGTCATTTCCACATGGGTTACAATCACAGGTATGATGACTAGATACATATAGCTCTGGCTCAATTGCAGCCTTAGTATCTGCAACGATTTCACACAGCTTTTCACAAGGTTTGGCAACTGGTCAGCTGTTTGAGCCAAAAACTTTGCATTCGAATTAGGACGGTCAATGTTTGGTTCTTCTAACATTTTTACTACAAAATCCTTAAGTACTATGCCGTCCTTCCTTGAAATAACAGTGAATTTTGTTTCCCGGGGTACCAAGTTATACTTAAATCTGCGTTTGTGCTGTTAAACTGTTTAGATTTACCGCCAGGTGATCTCCACCTACCGTTAAGGCCAACGATATTTTCGATAAAATACTTAATAATTTTCGATAAAATACTTTCGATATAATACGAGTGAATCAAGGTCCTGCGTCCACTTTATTCGATTTCCTTCATATATCAAGCACGCTTTATCCTATATAGCTTTATCCCATATCCTATATTATCCTTTATAGCTTTTACAGTGATTTTATCGTATTCGTATCCACACACTTTACAAGAAAATTGAGATTATCTGGGGAGCTCGCCGAAACATGACCAGCCGCCATGTTGAATACGTTTCGGCAAGTAATATTAATAGTCATATTGCCAAAGATCAAAAGAGAGCACTGATGACTGCCCCCGTCGGAGAGTTAGTAGCGCAGCCCAAGCCAGCTCAGTGAAATATGGGGGTCCAGGGCCAATTATACCCTTGGGGCCCCGGTGAACCACAATTATCCCCCCCCCCCCCTTCATCGACAAACTTTTTATCCCCTTGCAAATTTGTATTTGCTGGCTCTCCTTGAGCTGGGACGGCGGAGAAAATTGCTGCCTTTGCCCCCCCCCCCCTGCATGGGCGGCCCTGGCGCCGCCCTTGTCTGATCATAACTATCTACTTCAAATCATTTTTAAAGCCCTAGTCTTTTTCAAGTAGTTTTTTTTGTTCCGAAAAAGTAAAAGACTTAGAAATGGTGATTAAATTATTTACCACGGTATGTTATTTAATAACGAGCAATTAAGGGTTAGATCCTGACTCTATCTCCTGATTGGATGATTGTATTGAAGCTTTCTGATTGATTCAAATAAAACATATATAACCAATCAGAGAGCTTTAATACAATCATCCAATCAGGAGACAGAGTCAGGATCTGACCCTAATTCAAACTGATTGGCGCGGCTCGATGAGTCAATTGCCACTTTCAACAGAGGTTTATTATTTTAAATCCCTGGAACTAGGGTACGTTTTGTCTCTCTGAGGCCAGCGAAATAACTTCTTCCGCAACATGCACGTCAAGAAACAATCAATAAGTATAATCGTTGTGGTCTGTGGGATTTTTATGAGATCAATAGTGTAAACCTTGCAGTTTTAACACACATACAGTAGTATGCATTAGCCGAATTCATATTAGAGACGGGAAACTCGCATTAGACGGGAAACTCGTCAAATATGAATCTGGGCCGGGGCAGACGAGTTTCCTGTCGGAACTTTTCCGTCTAACTTACCGGTCTAAACGGACGGGAAAGTTAGATGGGAATCTCATCTAGACGGGAAACTCGTCTTTAATTCGAATTTATCTGTCCCTAAATTCATATTCAGACAGGTTTTCACAGACAAGTTTCCCACCCCTAATATGGATTCGGCTATTCAAACATAAGGGCTGGTAAACTAAAAATAAAAACTCCTTATATGGATAAACATTATATAAACCTTCATTTCACATACACGCACGCTAACAGTTGCTTAATAATTAATATAACTTACGTATTCGTAAACATAGGCCGTCGTCTAGTGCCCCAAAAGATGGCTAGAAAACGATTTTCGTTGCACACCTCTTTAAACTAAAAGAAAATTACATATTATTATAGATTAAGTGACGCTGAATCCAAATCTAAAAAGTTCTTGCGGGTTCACCCTGCAGTTTTTTTGTAAATTGCGATCAAAATCTTAAAATTTACGAGTTTTGCAATAGCATTTTTACTATATGCCATACGTCAAAATGCGTACTCTCGGAATCAGTCACTCGCGCGCCATAGTGAAAATTATACAGGATAGGTCACTTCCGCCTCCTCTTGAGATATGTGAAATCAGATTTGAGGTAAACAATGAGCAACACGATTTTCAAGTTTCATATATTATTGCATAGGTAGCCCAACAATCCACACGCCGTGACGTATGATGCAGTAGTATTATTGCGACAAAGCGTATTTTCTGGCTTTATACGAAGATATTTAACAACACCAGGCATTCTTTCAAGATTATGAACTTATGTGCACACTATTTCATCTTTATGGGGTGTAATAAAGGACGAAACAAACTTCAATTTTATATTTTGTCATTTTGAAGATAAGACTAAGAGTGGACATATAAATAATATAGTAAATGGATATATTTGTATCAGTATGGTAAGCCAAAAACTACCAAATACTTAATAGTAAATATATAAAATACATATTTAAAAATATTTTAATTAGTACCATACAGTAATTAATAACACATTAGTTTTTATCGTCATCACAGTCCACTGCCTTCATCTATAAAGTTATTGTCAATTAGATGATTTAGATCTATCTCACTGTTCTCACAATTGCTGCATTTTCAAAGTTTAGTGCACTTTAAATTTGCTTTAAAAAATGAGCATTTTGTTTGACAACCTTTTTGCATTTACTGACAAAATTACTGACCAACTCGGCCCATACCATCTCGGCCCAATAGTTAACTACTGTTTGACATATTAGGGAACTAAGGAAGCTTATTAATATTTTACAAAAGGCAGCACCAAACCGATACAGCCTTTTGCAGTTGCATTGGGCGTACAGATGAGTAAAGTTTGATTGCAATTGGCTCTGAACAATTTCTAAATCAATATCGCAAGAGAACATCCATTTTGGCTTAATTTAAAGATCTAAATTACTGATTTTTCAAATCTCTCTCAAACTTTGCAAAGATAGAATTACCCTAACTTGTTTAATGGTTAGATTAGTCGGTTTAGGAGCGGGACAAGTTTGTCCTTGAATGGTGGGCCGAGAAGGTTAGTGGGCGGAGTTGACTGTAAAGCATTCTAAGATGCTGTTTGAAGCAGGGCTTTGTGTCCCCCATGGGCATTATTGATCACTCCAGGAGGGTGGTGACACTCTCGGGAAGGTGTAAATCATCTCTAAGTGCCTCAAATGCATATTTGAAGAATTTGTGGTGCTTAATCTTGCTACATACTTTAAGTGCTTTTGTCTTGCCTTTACTGCAATGTTGAGATATTCTAACTAAGTTTAAAATGTTCAATATGACAGAAGAGGTTTGTGACATGCCTTTGCTAAGGGGCAGAAGAGCAATTATGTGTTAGGTGGCAGTTGTGTGACCTTATACATACAGTAACTGCTGCTGTATGTGGTGGAAACTTATAAATGTTTACAATATATACATTTTTTTCTTAAAATATCTGCTCCGGATAGCTGATTAGCTGCAAATGCAAAAACAGGGCATTTTTTAACTATATAACTGGGGGGGGGCAAAGCCCCCCC